GCAAGCTAGGTGCGCTCGCGTCATATCTGACGTCCTACCCCTCCCTCCCATCCCTTCCCATGGCGCTGATTTTCTCTATCCGCGGACGCGTGTCGTAGCGGACTGTGGCTCCGCGCGCGCGTGCGTAACTAGTGGGTGGTGGTGCGCGTGCGTGCGTGCGTGCGTGTGTGCGTGGTTGTGGTGGTGGTGGTGGTGGTGGTGGTGGTGGTGGTGGTGGTGGTGGTGGTGTGTGTGTGTGTGCGTGTGTGCGCGTGTGCTGTGGCATGGCACGGGAATGGTGGTGTTGGTGCTGGTGCTGGTGCTGGTGATGGTGGTGGTGGTGGTGGTGGTGGTGGTGGTGGTGGTGGTGGTGGTGGTGGTGGTGGTGGTGGTGGTGGTGGTGGTGGTGGTGGTGCGGCGCGGTGGTGGCGGGCGGATGGGCGCGCGAGAAAGAGGCCCGCGCTGGGGCGAGAACGCCATCCTGAACGACGGAGGCCAAACACCGATCCGAAAATGAGGCCCACGCTGCAGCGGGAGCACGATTCGGAACGATTCGGGAGCACAAATGAGGCCGGCGCCTCAGCGAGAGCAGCAGTTTGCCCGAAAATGACGCCGGCGCCCCAGCGAGAGTCGTTTCCCGGGATTTCCCGGGGAAATCCTGTGTGTAAATAAACAGTACGCGGAGGGTGCGCGGCCATCACCCGGACGCCATCAGGGGAAGAGGGAGAGTATTTTCATATTGGGTAATTGTGAAGTGGAGGGGGAGGAGGAGGGGGAAGGTGAGGGGGAGGGGGACGGGGAGGGGGAGGAGGAGGGGGAGAGGGCAAGCTAGGTGCGCTCGCGTCATATCTGACGTCCTACCCCTCCCTCCCATCCCTTACCATGGCGCTGATTTTCTCTATCCGCGGACGCGTGTCGTAGCGGACCTGTGGCTCCGCGCGCGCGTGCGTAGTGGGTGGTGGTGCACGTGCGTGCGTGCGTGCGTGCGTGCGTGCGTGTGGTGCTGGTGCTGGTGTGGTGCTGGTGCTGGTGGTGGTGGTGGTGGTGCTGGTGCTCGTGGTGCTCGTGGTGCTCGTGGTGCTGGGTGGTGCTGGTGCTGGTGCTGGTGGTGGTGGTGGTGTGGTGGTGGTGTGGTGTGGTGGTGGTGGTGGTGGTGGTGGTGGTGGTGGTGGTGGTGGTGGTGGTGCGGCGCGGTGGTGGCGGGCGGATGGGCGCGCGAGAAAGAGGCCCGCGCTGGGGCGAGAACGCCATCCTGAACGACGGAGGCCAAACACCGATCCGAAAATGAGGCCCACGCTGCAGCGGGAGCACGATTCGGAACGATTCGGGAGCACAAATGAGGCCGGCGCCTCAGCGAGAGCAGCAGTTTGCCCGAAAATGACGCCGGCGCCCCAGCGAGAGTCGTTTCCCGGGATTTCCCGGGGAAATCCTGTGTGTAAATAAACAGTACGCGGAGGGTGCGCGGCCATCACCCGGACGCCATCAGGGGAAGAGGGAGAGTATTTTCATATTGGGTAATTGTGAAGTGGAGGGGGAGGAGGAGGGGGAAGGGAGGGGGAGGGGGAGGAGGAGGGGGAGGAGGAGGAGGAGGGGGAGGGAGGAGGAGGAGGAGGAGGAGGAGGAGGAGGAGGAGGAGGAGGAGGAAGAGGAGATGACGTTTTCTCTTCTCCTATACGCAATGTTTCCGAATCCTGGCGTGTTTCTTCGATTTCGGCCGCAAGTGCCCCTATATTCTGGCCCCCAGGCCATCACACGGACGGATCCCGGGCGAACAAAAAGTGGCGCCCATGGGAAGGGATCGGGTTTTCTGGGGCAAACCCTTGGGAAACTCATCTCGCTCGATGTTGGATCCCCAGACGCACTGGCGTCCTAAGTCTACTACGCGTATGAGTGACCCTTCGCCAGAGTGACCCTTTGGTGCGGGCCCATTGGGCCCCCCCCGATCGCCGAATGCGATGCGATAGTAGCTGCCTGCGCGCTGGTGTTTGGTCCCCCCACGGTGGCAGAACTCGCTACAATGGCACCCCCGTGTAGGTAGCTCTTCGCCAGCGCAGTTTCAAGCAGTGGCGAAGCGTCCTGGCTCGCCTATAGACCCACCAAATAATGTTCTAAGAACCTTTTGTGGTCTGCATGAAATGTTCTCGGGACATTTCTGGCTGGTGTGATCTTGTTGTAACTCATCGGGATTGTGTTCTAAGAACATTGTTTTTGTTCTTGGAACATTTCTGGGATCTACGAACATGTCGTGGTATGCCTACAGGAATGCCGGGACGGTCGGTCTCTGCTCAACAGTTACTCTGCCTAATTAGCCGCCGGCGCAAAAAGTGTTTGGCCCCCCCGCGGCCCCCAAAAGGCCGCGCACCAAAGGTCACCCGTACCCAGGGTCACTCTTGCGCGCAGTCGCTCGGGGGCAACGATAGGGGGGGATACACACTAGGGGCGGCCCATGCCAAGAGAAACACCCCGCTTGCCTCCAGGGTGCCCTGGGTTTCTTGGGTTTCGATGGTTTTGCTGTGGAAGGCGTGACGTTCCCACACCAAAAATCGATGGATGTCTTGGGGTCTCAGAGTTGGGTTTATTTGGAAGGTATCTTTTCAACTGGCCTCCACTGTAGGGGGGATTGGGCATAGGGGGGGATGCATCGACCCCCAATCGCCCATTGATCGCCGATAGGGGCCCAATAGCCCCAACCTGCCGAGGAAGGTGCGGGAGCACCATCGGAGACCTGTCGCCGATCTGTCGGCGATGGACCGCCGATTCAGAGTCGATGTTTCCCCCCCTGTGCCTATCCCCCCCCCTTTATCGTTGCCCCTCAGCCAAGTGAGGACAAAAAACACGAAGGGAATGTTTTCGTTGCCGCTGGCAGCTCCCAGGGGCCCTTCTCGCCGGGCTCCCCGGGGACCGTCAGAAAATGGCTCGGGAGGGCACACCAGCCCAGGGGCAAGGGTCAAACATCCAAACACTGGACAGTTGTGTCGCACGCGTCGAGGTAGTCGTCGTCGTTGGGGGTCGTCGTTGTCGTCGTCGTCGTCGTCATCATGCTCGTCGTCGTCGTCGCTGGAGGAAGAGAAGGAGCTGCGCGTCGTCGGGGGCATGGCTGTCGTCGTCGGAGGAGGAGGAGGGCTCCTTTTCTTTCCGGAGGAAGAAATCTTCACAAGCAACAGCCTTTGATCGGCGCCAAGCCTCTCTGGCGGCGCCTCCCGACGCCGCCCCTGGGCGCTCAGCGCGCGTGGGGGCGGGCCCAGCGACGATCCAAGAGGTCCGCACGGACCTCCAGAGGTTCGCTTCTGGCGACTCTGCTTATTCTAGCCTTGGCTTCGTCGGATGCGTTGAGATCGTGGTGGTCGGAGGTTGTCGTCGTTGGACGGAGCGGAGTTCTGCGCCGTCGGATGCGTCGTCGTCACAGGAGGACGCCTGTCCAGGACAACCAACAGAGACGCGCGCCCCCTCCCCCCTTGGAGGAAGAACCTCTCACGGCACGGGCGGAGCATTGCCAAAGCACGAGCCCCAGAGCGCCGACGCACAAAGCCGTTCGAGTACTTCTGAACCGCACGCAACACGAAGAGGAGGAGGAGGAGGAGGAGGAGGAGGAGGAGGAGGAGGAGGAGACCGAACAGGTTGACTACCGAGGCCTGCCTGGTGTGCCATGCTGCCGAGCGTGGAAGCAGGACGCGTGCGAGACGACGTGCCGTGCGTCTGGCACGCCGGACACGTGCGTCCCCTGGCCCCGCGCGGCCGAGGATTCTGGAACAAAAGACGAATCACTCGTGGACAGCAGTGAGTTCCAGACGCTCGATGTGAAAATTGCCACGGCCTGCAGTACCAACGTAAGAAGCGACGACCCCAAGAGGAGAGCCAACACATGGAAGGAGGAGGCTCAGATCAACGGTCGGCTCGTCAGAGGACGACATATCCTCATCATGATCCTGGATTGGTACAGGCTCGTGGAAACAGACGGTTGCATCTTTGACTTCGCCCACCTCAATGCTGTGATCACCGAAGACAAAATCTCAGCAAGTTTACTGGGGACCTGGGACTACACATTTTGGGGTGACAGCCATTTCCGCATCGCCCATCATCCATGAGTCCTTGTCCATGGCGCAAATCAGTAACCATCGTGACCTCGAATCTGAAGTTCGGGCGCGCAATTGGATGAAGAGGAGCGGCCCAAACAAGACCAACGAGCGGCTTTACAACAGGCGCACAAAACTCTTGAAGAGGCAGCGCCTACACACGGCCCGCAGGGAAATGGTAGCAGACCGAGGAGCCAGTTCGGCAATGCCCCCAGAAAAGGGGGATCTGCAGCGACTGGGCCAGAGAGGCTCGCGCAATTCAGATGCAGTTCGGCGGCAGCACCCAGAATGCTTGAAGCATAATGCGACGGGACCGGCTGACAAGTCGGGCACTCGCAAGTTGAGTGAAGACTTCACCGCGGAAAGCAGGTGCTCCAAACCACGGCGCAACGAAGAGCACGGGCCAATGTGCTCGAAGAGAGCTTGTCAGAGGAGGGACTAGTGCAGCTTCGCGCGCGCGCAGGCAACGGCGAAGAAAAAGCCGCAGACGCCTCGCGAAAAGGCGACCCCCCCCAACGCTCGCCCTCAGGAGACCCTCGGCGGCGACGCACCGAACGGTCCGCCGCGGCCCCCTGAGCGGGCCGAGGACGCACCCTGCGAGCCCGAGACAGGGCGCCCAGGGAGACTCACCAGCCTCGAACTTATCCCTACCCCTAAGATTGACACGCCCAAAGGCGATGACAATCTTAGGGATGCGCCCGCAAAACCTGAGGGAATCCCTGAGACTGGCATCGTGAGGAGGCGATGCCCAGCGTAGGGACAGGGATATGCTCCAGGCTGGTAAGAGACGGCTCTCGGGGGGCGGGGAGGGGTGCGCCAGCCACCACAGGGGGGGGACGCCGCCGCCGACGCCGGCTCGCGGCCGCCGGCGGTCGACCTCTCACGACCAAAGGCCGAGGGCCTTGAGGCAGGCCCGCGCGAACGTGACCTCTTGGCGGCCAGCGCTGCCGCCTCCGAGGTCCCCGAAGGTCCTCGCCGCTCTTTGCCCGTCTTTCCCTTTCTTCCGGGGTGGCGAAACGGCGTGGAAAGCCGGGCGGGGGGGGGGGGGCGCCGGCGCCCGCGCGGCTGGGCAAGCTACCGCTAAGCTACCGCAAGCTACCGCTACCGCCTCACCACGCGGCGGAGTGTTCTGCCGCCAAGCACTCTGCGAGGTCGCTTCCCCGCGCGGCAGGACACCCTGCCGCTGAGCGCTCGCCGAGGTTTGTCTCCGAAGCGCAAGGGCAACCTCCCGCTCTGGCGATTCAAATTGCTTCGACATGCGGCGACGTTCGCGCCGCGCTGCTCTCGCGGGATGTGAGCCTGTGCGCCGCGTGGCAGGTCGCAGAAGCACATCATAAAGCGTTGCAGTTTGCCTTGTTGGCTGCAGTCCCATCAAAGTGCTTTTTTCGGGGTCGCGCGTCGGGAACGCGCGGGGGGGAGCGCGCGCGCGGGAACGCGCGGGGGGGGGTGGGGGGGCGGCTGGCCGCGAGGGGGGAGAGGAGGAGGAGGGGGGAGGAGAGGAGGAGGAGGAGGAGGAGGAGGAGGAGGAGGAGGAGGAGGAGGAGGAGGAGGCGGCGTCCCAGACTAGGCAGGCACGCGGCTCGCATTGGCGTCCGAGTGCGGATCGAGACCCCAGCAGACCGTAGCAGGCCGCTCCCGCCCCGGTTCCTAAAGGAGGTGCCGCCCGCGGGCCCGGCAGCCCACGGCCATGGGGGCAGGCCTCGCTCGCCAGGAGAGCCATCCCGCGGCATCGCAGCCTGCCGCTGAGAGCTCGGGCCCGTGCACCTCGGCCTCCTTGGCGTCCGTTTTGGACTTGTCTTGGTAACGCATGTTTCCTGTTGCTCCCCTTCGCCGTTTCAGTATGTTGCGTCTCTCGTATGTATTTATTTATTATATTTTTATATATATTTATATATATATATACATATATATATATATGTATCACGGTCTCACCTGCCATGAAATGTTTGTTTATAAACGTCATTGTTGCTTGGCCGCGGACATCGTCAGTTACATGCAGCCTTGTCCTGGTTTTGGCCCGCGCGTACCCTCCTCCGCGCTACTGTTGCGTGCGCCCCGACGTCCGCAGAGCACTCGATCTGCTGCTGGGTCTACAACACGCGCCAGATTTTGAACACCTGCAGGCTCACGAAGGTGAACTTCACAGGGCGCCCTCGGATGTGGCCGCCCCGTCTTCGGACGGGGCGTCCTCCGCCCCTCTTGCCCTTGTCCCGTAAGATTGCGGGTGTGTCTGTGTTAGGGCCCTGGGCGTTTCTCCATCCTGTTTTTTTGTTTTCCTTCGGGCGGGCTCCCAGGGCAAATGGAAGCCAGGGCCCCCGCTTGAAAGGAACCGTTCTCCATCCGCGCTATCGCTTCACACGTTTAGCTATCTGGCCGCTCAAATTGAGGAAGTCCCAGGCGAACGCCGCACTTCCAAAAGGAGCCACACTACAAACCCAGAGTTGCTGCAAGCGTGTAATTAAGACGAACGCGAGCGGCGCTTGAACGAGAACCCCATGTTGAACACGACTTGGCCGCCATCCGAGAACACCCCGCGAGAGTTTAGGGAGGCTGTGCGCGGGGAGAAGGCGAGAGCCGCATTGCAAGCACGCCCCACTCCATCCCAGCAGTTGCTGCAAACTCTGAAAACGAACGCGCGCGGCGGTAAGGCGTGACCCCCATTGTGGAAACGGTCCTTCTCCACGCACGTAGCTGCTGCAAACTTTGAGGACGAATGCGCGCGGCGCTAAGGCGACAGCCCTCTTGTGAATACCACCCCCATCAGCCCTGCAACCGCTGCAAATTCCAACCTTCGGGATCATGCGTAGTGGGGAGGCCCCAGACGAAACGCGCCGCCCGTTCTATCTGCACGTGTGTGGGTGCGACAGAGAATAGTCACCTCCACGGAATAGAGGGATGTAGGAAGAGGAGGAGGAGGAGGAGGAGGAGGAGGTGGAGGAGAAGGAGGAGGGGGAGGAGGTGGAGGAGGAGGAGGAGGAGAAGGATTAGAAGGAGGAGGAGGAAGCAATCAGGAGCAGGGAGAAGCACCAGAAGGAGGCAGCGGCAGGCTTCCCCTTCCCCACCCCCCTTTGGAGGCAGCCTGCGAGGCAGCCCTCAAAGCAGCCTGCCGGGGCCGCGGTGGGCAGCTCGTTCCTGCCATTGGCGCCCCGCCGCGCCCGACGGTTGGGTCGCTCCCCCCCCCCTCCCCCCAGCCCTCCATGCCATGCTCCTCCCGAGGCAAAGGCGGGGAAGCGGAGGAGGAGGATCGACCTCTCCCGCCCCCCCCCCCCCGTCCTGCTTCCGCCGCCCTCCCACCTGCTCCTTTTTCCGACGCCCGTTCTCGCGCCCCCTCCCCCTTGCCACGCCCCCCACAAACACAACCCTTCACCCTCACCCTCGCTCCTCCCCTCCCCATCCCCTCCCCTCCAAGAGTACGAGAGGGAGTGTGGGGAGCAACGAGGAGGAGGAGGAGGAGGAGGAGGAGGAGGAGGAGCAGGAGGAGGAGGAGGAGGAGCAGGAGGAGGAGGAGGGGGAGGAGGAGGGGGAGGAGGAGGAGGGGGAGGAGGAGGAGGAGGAGGAGGAGGAGGAAAAGGAGGAGAAGGAAGAGGACGAGAACGATCGGGAATCGAGCTTAGATGTTTGAAGCAGCTACTGGGCCACAGGGTGGGTCCAGAGGCTTTCGGGTGGGAACGCGGCGGTCTCATCGGTCGTGATCTCGATGTGCGCATGTGTGTGAACGACGTGTATGCAGGTCTGATCAGCGATCCAACGATGGCGCGTCCCACATATTTTGAATGGGGCTGTATGTGGCGATTTTCCCAGAGTCGAACCTTGCGGTGTGCCGCATGCAGTGCTCGCGCACTTTCTACACATTGAACAACAAGTACTGTTCGAAACTGCAGTAATGCGGCACCTCGCTATTGGGAGAACAAGTGCTTTAGGGCGAGAAGGCCACGGCAGTTCTCTGGTGAAGTGGCACGCCACGGAGCAGCCCAGAGGGCCCGGGTCGAGCCGGCAAGCTTACGGCGACAGCACTGTCTTCTGACATCGCGATGCATGATTGACGTGAACGGGCTGTTGGCTTGTTGAGGTTGCTGATTGTTCTTGTGGCCCTGCCTTCTGAGCCCGCACAGAGCGTGTTGCACACATGTTCGTGGAAGGCGAGTGGAATTTGTTAGATTACGACTACATGCTTTAATCACTCACGATTGTTTCCCACTTGGGGGGAATGGGGTTGCTAGGTTCAAAGAACAAACTCCCGATCCGCCTTGCACAACCTGCATACCGTGGCCGCCAATTCCACAAGGTGCTGGTGCTCCCTGAGTATCGCGCCTCGCATCTTCGACGAATGCCAATTGCATACCGCGGCCGCCATGGCTAAAGTGTCCTGGTGCGCCCTGGGGATCCCAGCGCTTGCCCGGAGCAAACTAGTTGTATTGTTTTCGGCATGTGTGCGCGTCTAGCGTGCCTTTCTGTTCCTTAGGGTGTTTGGCAACACGCACTTCTCGTATTACAGCATTCGCCATGGAAAGTTTCCTGGGCCAGGTAGAGCCACGGCACTGCATGGTATTATTTGTGGGGGGAACGTACTCCCGTTTGACCCGCACTTCTATGATTTGCGAGGGAAGGTTGATGGGGTCGGATGCGGCTCTGCCCGATAGTCAAGCACGGTAGTAGTAGAGTAGACCAGGGCAGAGTTGATGATAAGACAATGTGTTGCAGAGCTCATCTGGTGTCGCGCAACTGGAAACGTTGAAGCACGATTAGCCCAACTTTCATATCAGCAGAACTGGTCCAGGAGAGAGTCAATTCGAGTATTGTATGTGCAAGTCCAAATATTGCCAACATGTTGCACCCAATGATCGTTTTGTTTTCTGTCGTAAACCTTCGTGACATCGAGCCCCTTCTTCAGACCAAAGGCCGTGAAAGAAGCGAGCGAGGGGAATTCGCGAATGATCTCAAACTTTCCCCCTGTGTCCATGCGCGGGGCTGTGCATGTCGGTGAGTTCACGCGCGCAGCTTCGTAATTACGTTGATGGAGATTTGGGTGCGTGCGTGCGCGCACATGCCTCGCATAATGGCGCCCGTTTAGCGCACGGGCGTGGCCCGCATGGTATCATTTGTCAGATGGTGCCCCATTCTTCTCGCTTGATCGGCCCGCATTGTATTGTTTAATTGAATGTTAGTAGGATTTGCTTGTAAGATAAAGGATGCGCGCACAGCTATGTTTATTTGACAGGGACAGTGCCCGCTCAGCGCACGCATGTGGCCCGCATGGCACCTGCTCATATGCAGGATGGCGCGTGGGTGTATATTCCACGTGATAAATCAATAACGCATGCCAGGACCGGATGAGGCTTCGATCCACATGTGTGTCTTTCATCTGTCGAACCGAGGTTGCGTGCAGAGCAACCATACGAAACACTGTCAGGCAGCATCCTGGCGGATCCGGTTGGGGCAAGATGGAGGGAGGCAGACGTAGTGTTATTAGTGTTTGGGCCGTTCAATAGATCAGTCGAGTAATGTAGCTTCGAGTAGCGCGAAGCAATCCATAATATATACGAAATGCGTGTATTGAAGCAATGGAGGGGACGAGTTGTGTAGAGTAGAATTTGACGATTGCACCTGTAGCGATTATTCTCGCCTACCCGAAGAATCATAACATGTTTCACTCTGTCATAACTCTTCTAATCAGGAAGCTCCTCTTTCATACCAGACTGAAGTGAGCGCACTCATGTTTCAGTCAAGTGCTATGGCCAGTCCATGTGCAAGGCCGCGCAAGCAGATGAACGTCAATACTGTCTCTCCCCACGCTTTCGAAAATTTGAAACAAAAATATGGATAACATTAAGTTGCAAACCCGCAGCCAAAGATGTTCGAAAGTGCGCGCTCAAAACACAATGCCGCTTGCCATTGTACTGAGACGCGCGCGCACGCAGCCCGCATGGTATCGCTTTCAGGTGGGATCTAGTTCCTCGATGAAAGATTCTCACCACACAGGACCAGTTGGGCGACGCAACCAAACGGGGTCGTCTGCGCCGACGTTGGCGCATGAGCTCCCCGCGTAAGGTCGCGCGTAAGCGCCCTCGTCTCCAATATGGCGTTCCAGTTCCGCGCTGGCGGCCCGCGCAAGCTGTGGCGCAAGGTCGCCGTGCCATCTCGCGTAGGACCCGTTTTTGATCGTCCCTCCGTTGGTTGTGACGAAACGTGGCTGGGCCAGATGAGGTGTCGCACCGAAGCGATTGAGTCCATATGCCGGACAGGCGTCGGGCCAGAAAAAAACACAACATGTTATGGAACAGGCTGGGCATTGGGCGGCGGCGGGTCGGGGCGGGAAGGCTTCGGTCTGGATCGGCGAAGAGTGGCAATCCAGAAGTAGTGCAGGGCCAGAGCAGAGCAGAGCAGAAGAGGGACGGTACGTCCCGCAAGCGATGTAGGATTGCGGGGTAGAGGTGGGCAAGTGGAGAAAGGTATGGCATGTGGAGTACAGGTGGGGTGGAGGAGTGGAGTAATTTGAATAGGGATCCACCTACCTTGTGGTCGTCAACAGCATCATCACCAGCAGCATCGTCATCATCACCAGCAGAATCATCAGGACCCTGATGCCGCCGCTGGAAGATACCGTGTGCTGCCTGGGCTGGGGCCCTTGGAGGACATGGGCTGGCTCTTCCGATGTTCCATCTGGAATTCGGCGGGCCCCTCGCTTGGCGACAGAGGCTGACATGTTGATACCTGCAGGAGTGCTGCAGATATCACGGCCAAGACTTGAAGTGACTGATGGTGAACTATTGATACTTGCGGCAGTGCTGCAGGTATCACGGCAGGAAGTGAGATCGTGGTGGGCCTCACGGCCCCCACACAAGCACACACACATTGCCGACCCCTCCTCCACCCTCCTTCCTTTCCGCCTTTCCCACCGTTCCGTCCTCCCTCCTTGTCCTTCCCCCCTCCTCCCAATTGCCACCGGCCCCCTCAACCTGAGGCCTCGACCCCACCCCGACAGGTGCCAGCGCCGCCGCCAGAAGCCGCCAAAAGCGAACACTGCTGGCAGCTCGGGGGCCCCAAGCGGCTGCGCAAGGCCGAGGCCGCCGTGGAGGTGAGGGGAACGGTGGAGGGATCCTGGGAAGGGAGGGGGGAGGCGAATTTCAGAAGCAGCCGTTGCACACACGTAAACTTCCGTAGGTCCGGGAGTTGATGTTTATATTGCTTGCCTGCCTCTAGCGGACGGAGGAGGCTGCCTAGGCGATTTGCCACCGAGGCGCGGCCGCCCTGGCGGCGTGCGCGGCAACGCCCCTTTCCCCGTCGCCTGGAGGGGGCGGAGCAATTTGCTTGCGCCAGTGGTATAGCCGAATCGGGTGCGCAGTTTCCAACAGAGGAGACGGGGGCTCCACCAATCGATCACAGAACGGGAGACTCGGAGAGGAGGAGGAGGAGGACCAGTGGAAATCCAGAATGCATCAACGATGCTGCAATACACCATCACCTCAAGTTTCCCCTTTCAGAAGTATGTGCGAGAATGTATGTTCACTGCGGGCCACGGTTAACCGTAAGTGCACACTGGAAAATCGCTACTGTACAATAGGAAGTACACAATTGCAATCATAGACGCGCACAGTGCACAGTGGAGAGATCCAACATAAAGATCGAACGTAAAGACCCAACGTGAAGATCCAACGTAAAGATCCAACGTGAAGATCCAACGTACATTTCCAACGTAAAGATCCCGCTTGAAGATCCAACGTGAAGGTCCAACGTGGAGATCCGACGTACAGATCCAACGTAAAGATCCGATGCGCCCTTTTCCAAGGTGGCTTTCCGAGGGCGCGAAGATAACCACACATCGCGGTGCCAGACGCTGGATGATTGTGCTGGCCCGACCTCTCGTCGTTACACCCCCCCCTTTGCCGCCTCGGCCAGGGCGCCCGCCTCGGCGTCCCCGGCGTCGTCGTCGCCCTCCTCCTCTCGCCGACGCGTAAGTGTGATCTTTCCGCGCGGCTTTTTGTTGGCCCTCGGGGGGGCCCTCGTCGCCGCGGCCGGACGCAACTCGAAAAACGGGTCAGGGCCGATTTTGAATGGATTTTTTGCGCACGAAAGGTCGCTCCTGCCACAGAACAGTCTTACGTCCCCACGATTCTTCCTCATTGATTTCTGAAGATACGATTATCCATTCTTTAATGACCTTCGATCTTCGACCGTCTTTCCTCGATCTCGGCCTCCGGAGGCCATTGTTCAGGCCCCGGGACCGTATGATAAACGAGCGGGGGGTGACAAACTACCTTTGGAAAGGGTCCTCGTCGGTCCGCGTCGTCGGTCTTCGGTCGTTTTTTGGCGTGCGGTTGCCATTTTCGGGCCCCGAACGCCGTCGTCGGTCTCGTCGTCGTTCGGTCGTCGCCGGTCGTCGGTCGTCGCGTTCGGCGGCCGGCGAACGCCCCCAATGCTATCGCCGAGGCTGCGACCGCGGCGGGCATCGAAGGGGGGGAAAACCAGACCTCAGACGTCTTGAAAAGATCAAGACGGAAGTTTTTGGCAATGCTTTGCTTCCGGGAACCCTCAGCGAGGGGCCGTGGAAAAAAAACGATTAGGGATGAAAACTTGGTCCAGAGGAAGTTGTCGGGGCATCCAGGGACCGCGCATGGAAAAATCAAGACATCGGAGATCGGGGCACCGTTCCTCACCCTTTTTCCCGCCCCCCTCCCCTTCTAAAGCAGCGCGAGGGGTGGGTTGAGCAGCTGTGCTCGGGGGCCCCTCTGGGGTCTCGCGTAAAAGTCCCTGAGCAGATTCAACGCGAAAATCCCAGACCCCGCGGAAAAATCCAACGTGAAAGTCGAACGCAAAGATCCAACGTAAAGAATTCCAGATCCCGCGGCAGGATCGAACGTGAATATCAAACGCGAAGATCCAACGTACAGATCCAGCACACAGAACAAACGTAATACATCTCACATCACATCCAACGTAAAGATCCGAGACCCCACGGAAAGATGCAACGTGAAGATCCAACGTGTAGATCCAACGTGGCAAATTCCAGATCACACGTAAAACCCAACGCACAGATCAAACGTAAATATCACGAGCAGAGATCAAACGTAGAAGTTCCCATAGCAGATCCACCGTGCAGATCCGAGACCCTATGGACAGATCCAACGAAAAGATCAAACGTAAAGATTGAGCCTGCGCAAATTCCAGACCCCCACGGAAGGATCCAACGCAAAAGATGAAACGCCCAGGTCGAACGTAAAAATCCAAGGAAGTCTCAGAGTAGACACAATGTTGAATTTTATAAAACAAAGACTCCGCGGAAAGATCGGACGCGAAGATCTAACGTGAAAAAGCCCAGATCCCACGCGCAAAGATCCAACGCAAAGATCCAACGTAAAGATCCAAAGGGGAGATCCAACGCAAAGATCCAAAGTGAACATGTCCGACCCAACACGACCAACGCAAATATCAAATTATCCAACGCAAGAGCAGACCCAACGTGCAAATTCTAGACCCCCACCCAACGAGCACACGGAAAGATCCACCAAACCAACGGGGCAAATTCCAGACCCTACGTAAAGATCCAGCACAAAGATCCAACGTGAAGATCCAACGCAAAAGTCAGAGCGGGCCAAACGTAGAATCCCCGGGCCCCACGTGAAAATCCAACGTAAAAGCCCAACGTAAAGATCAGACGTGAAAAATAACAAATTTCACCGGAAGATCCAAGGCAATGATCGAGCGCAAAGATCCAACGCGCAAATTTGGCCCAACCTCCCGCGACAATCTAACGCGACAACTCAATGTGAAATTCCAACGTGAAGATCAAATGGAAAAAGCCAAGTGTAGGGACCCACATTTAATATCCCACGTAGAAATGCAACGTAAAAATCAAAGCTACCCGATTGAAAACTCCAACGCGAAACCGGGGGCATAAATCAACGGAACAATTGGGAAAAGCCGACGCAAAATTCCGGCGTGGAAATCCAAAGGTAGAGTCCACCGTGCAGATCCAACGTAAAAGTCTAACGTCAGACAGCCAACGTGCAAGTCCAACGCAAAGATCCAACATGCAAATCCAGCGTGAAAATTCCACGCGCAGGAATCCAACGCAACGACTCGACGTACAAATCCAACGTAAAGACTCAACGTAAATATCCGACGCAACGATTCAAGTCACAGGTTCAACGTAAAGGTCGAGCGAAAATGCCGAACGTCAAGATTTAACGCGAAGGTTCTTCCCGCAAAACTTTAAGCCAAGAGCCCAATGCGACCGTCCAGCGCAAAAATCCCAACGTGCAAATTCAACGGAAGAGCCCAGGGCCAAACAAAAAAATGATGATCAAATGTCAGAAGAAAACTGTTCAGCCCCTCTAAAAAAATTGGAGTGGCACTTCAGCGCGCAGATGATATTACGTAGGTGGCGCGAAGCTCCGACGTGGAAGTCCGCAAAAACTACAGTGTAAAAATCCAGCGCGACGACTCGACGTAAATATCATACGCAGATGTCCAACGCAAGGAACCAACGTGCAAATCCAACGCGAAGGCCCACCGCAAAGATCCAACGCACAGATCCAACGTAAAGACCCAACGTAAAGACCCAACGTTAAAATCCCAACGTAAAAATCAGACGCAACGATCAAACGAAAATAATCAACGCGAAGGTCCAGCGCAAAGGTGGAGCGATAATATCCAACGCAAAGATTTCACGCAAAGATGATTCCCGCACAAACATTTAACCCGAGCGCTGGTTGTGGAAACCCACCGCGCACAGCCAACTTGAAAATTCAGCGGAAGGGCCCGCGGGTCGAACTTTTCGATGAAAACATCCAACGTACGAGAAGCGAGCAAATCCGGATAGAAACCTCCGCGTTATTTTTGAAGTAAAGAAATCAACGCAGAACAGGCGACAGAAAAGGCGGCTCGAAATCCTGACTTGGAAACCCATCGTAACAATCCAGCGTGGGCCCAGCGTGAACATCCAACGTGAAATCCATCGCAGAAGTCCAACGTACCCATCCGTTGTAAACTTTCAACGTGCCGACTTGACGTAGAAATCCAACGTGCATGTCTAACGGGAAGATCCAACGCACAAATCCAAAGTAAAGATCCATCGTGAAGATCCAACGCGCAGATCCAACGTAAAGACCCGAGATAAAGACGCAACGTTAAGACACCAACGTAATTATCAAACGTAAAGATCAAACGCAAGTAATCAACGCAATGATCCAGCGCAAAAGTGGAACGTAACTATCCAACGCAAAGATTTCACGCAAAGATGATTCCCGCGCAAACATGCAACCAAGAACCGGGCGTGAAAATCTACCGCGCACAGCCAACTTGCAAATTCAGCGGAAGGGCCCAAATATCAAAATTTTCAATGAAAACATCCAACGTGCGAAAAGCAAACAGATCCGGATGAAAACCTCCACATTCCTTTTGGAGTACAAGAATCAACGCAAAACATGCGACAGAAAAGGCGGCGCGAAACCCTTACATGGAAACCCACTGTATAAATCCAACGTGGATCCAACGTGAAAGCCCAACGTGAAAATCCATCGCAGAAGTCCAACGTGCAAATCCATGGTCATATTCCACTTGCCGACTCGACGTAAAAATCAAACGTAAAAGTCGAACGTGAAGATCCAACGTACAAGTCCAACGCAAAGATCCATCGTAAAAGGTCCAACGCGCAGATCCAACGTAAAGACCCAATGTAAAGACAACTTTAAGACACCAACTTAAGTATCAAACGTAAAGATCAAACGCAACTAATCAACGCGACGATCCAACGTAAAGGTGGAACGTAAATGTCCAACGCGTAGATTGTACGCAAAGAATACTCCCGCGCAAACATTTAACCCGAGAGCCGGGTGTGAAAATCTACCGCGCGAATCCAACGTGCACGTTCAAAGGAAGAGCCCAAAGGTCAAAGTTTTGATGAAAACATTTAACGTACAAGAAGCAACAAAATCCGGTTACAAACCTCCGCGCTAATTTTGATGTCAAAACCGCCAAGACAAACAAACAACGAAAGAAAAGGCGGCGCGAAACTCCGACATGGAAGTCCATGGTAAAAACCCAACGTGGAAAGCCAACATGAAA